TGTCTTTGGCGGATCTTCTTCCTTCCCAGCCTCACGGAACCAAGCAGTGCAGTAGAAATGGAGCACACAGGCACCTGCTTTTAACGCCAGTAAATCTGCCCTAGTTGGGGGTTGGGGTCCGACCTGTCTGATGAGGAAGTGCGCTTTGGGGCGCACTGAGGGGGGACAGGCAGGACAAGCTTTCCACGAAGTATGTGAGAGCTGGCGACTGTAGCTTGAATAACGGCTGTTTAAATGTATCGGAATGTCCTTGCTTCACCTCTCTGTAAAGCCCTGACTACATTTAGCCGCGTACAGACTGGAAGTGCATACCGTGACCTCTTAATCGATAGAGCCTGTTTTCATCCTGTAGAATCTACATCAGCCATAGAATCAGAGAATGTTACAGGCCCGATGGTCAGGTCAGCCCTTTGGTTTTACACTGAAGAAACAAATGCCCAGGGAGTGGCCGAAGCAGGACTGAAGACGAGATTTTTTTTTACCGCTGGTTCGTTGTTCTTTCCCTTGGTCACGCTGATAACCTAAGACAGAGACGCACAGCATAGCGTTGCACAGTTGCAGGACCGTAGGAGTCGTATGGGAATGGACTTGGGTTATGTCCACGTCTGCGTCGAGAGGGCAGATGAAGGTGACTCGTCTTCAGCAGCCCTCATTCTCAGAGGTGGCTGACTCAGTTTAGTTTCAGAAACTTTCTGGGCACCATCAACACAACATACTAAGTACACTGAATTATCTCGAGCAGCCCAGCCCACTCTCATTTCTAGACATACTCCGCTCAGCCAGATTCTTCTGGAAACCATGGAGCCCACCTCAGTTTCCTCACCTGCCCGAAATATCATCATTAGCTGAAGACTCGTGGCTTTTGGCTTTTGGTCCTGCTGTCTTAAGTGTATTCATTTTGGTCAGACTAGTCCTGTCCCAGTTCATAGTTCACTGTCATCAGTGACTTATCTGAGTGGATGATATGTGTCAACCATACCGCTTTCTGAAAATTTGCTCATTTAACTGTCAGCTCTGATTAGGGATTTTTAGTGTAGCAGAATGATTTGAGGACAAAACCACCACAACCAACTAGCTTCGGGAACAAATGTATATATAGTCACTTCTGCTGTAATTCTCTTGATTTGTATTATTTCCCTTTAAGTGAGATCTGAAATGAAATGCTTTCGCTGTGTTCTCATTGTAAAATTGTATGAAAGTGACAGCCAGAAAACAAACTGGTATACTTTATTTTTATTATTTTTGGTAATTATACCATAGACAGACGATTATGAAACTGCTGATATCGAGGCCAGAACAATTTACTTCGCATTGGAGCTGTTTGCGAAGCCAGCAGCGTTTTGACTTTTAGATCCAGTGTTTCAGGCTGTTGCAGGCTTTTGGTCTCTTTGAAATTTGAGCATAAATATGTATTATATTTATTCACATATCTCTAGCGTTTCTAACCTTTCGCCGCGTACCTTTCCCAGGCTGTTTTTCTCCCTAAAGTATGAATTAAAACACGTAGAATTGTTTTCCTTGTTCTCAGACATCTCTGAGCCCTGACTAGGGCCACGGTGAGCCCTGCGCCTCTCCCCACGGCCTGGTGCCACTGTCGACCGTGGATCTCAATGCCAGGCCTGGGCAGAGAGGGCGCGGCCTAAGTAGTTGTCAGATATGGAACGTGATTGCTTTCCAGCTCTATTTTCCCGGACTCGTGTTCCATGACTTTTGGAAAGTAATATCTTACTTTAAAGAGTAACAGTTCTCTGAACGAATAAGAGTAACAGTTCTCTGAACACAGTATAAATTACCATTTTTTACCTAAATGCTAAAAACATTTATCCATTTTCAGATGATGTATAAGTAAAATGTCAGAAGGCACACGAAATCATTTAAGTGCATTTTATTATACTTTTTTCTATTTAAAAGGCAGGGACTGTCCCATTAAATTGCTTTAGCCGCTTGTAAATAGCCTCAACTTTTAGAGAGGTAGCGTTTTAAGATATGTTGTAGTTTCTTTGATTTAAAAAAGGAAAGGAAAGTCAGGTTCTCTTAGACCGCAAAAATCCTGACCGCTCCTTTGCTCAAATACATCCAATTCAGAGAGACTGTGTGTCCTGGCTCCTGGTGCAAAGACCCCGGAGAAGCAGTGGGCGGGGGGTGGGGGGTAGGGAGGGCTCCTTTGCTTCACCAGTACATCAGGAAGCAGGGACAACAGTGTCATGAAACACAGGTACAGTGATTAAAACTCGAGAGAATACTCGTGCGAGTTTAGAACCGCTGATGTCACGCATCACGCAAGCATCAAGGAGGAGAATGTCTGCGGTCCAGACAGCATGCTTTTTCTCAGAAGGGAGTAGAGGCGGGGAGTGGAAGCAGGTAAACAGAGAGAAATGTGGGAGTAAATACGGTGTGTGATGGATACACACGCATCTGTGCGTATAAACCGAAGACGAGGTCTTTATCCAGCGTGACTCCCCAGTGACAGTCATCGCACAATATGAAAGCATTTTGATGTGGGGCTGTGGTCCACACTGGCCCTCACTTTCTCCTTGTACTTCTGGATCTAAAGTGGAGATGGATGAGTGCACATTCCTATAGCGGTCTAGGGAAAACCACCAGCTCTCACAGAGCCCCATGGGGCTGTCAGGGGCCACCCTGCCACACAGAACATCACGAAGGGAACACTTCCCTCTCCAAGGACTGGTATGAGAGAGGTTGGTATTGAAATGTTGGTGTTGAGGTGACCCTGTCAGTCTAAAACATCTTTCAGTCTCTGCAGTCACAGTTTTCTGTCATAAAGAGCATTTAATAACTCATAAAGCCTATTTTTAATTGAATAATTTTGGGAATTCATTGTTAACTTGATAGAAACAAAGCCTTTTCATCCAGCAACACATCTATAACCATTTGTGTAGTTCCATATGTATTAGAAACGTAAACGATCAATAGGGAAGAGTATTTAAGCAATTCGTTGTGAATTTTCTATGTATTGTGAAGGATATTTGTTAACACATCTTGATGAGAGAGAACGTGAAAACTTTTTTCAGCTTTCACAGAACACGTACTTCGTCTCCTGTGTAGATTTTCTATTTTCGTTGCTGTTTTTTCCTGTTGTAAAAATAGTGTAAGCCCTCTGCTTTACATAAAAGATAAGCCGCGGAGGGAGGGGCATCACCTGTATCCCTGACATATAATGGTTGTCGTTATTTGCTGATAGTTTTTCTCCTGTGTATTCTTGTTTGTTCATTCCTTGTAACCCCCATACCTAGCCTCTCACGAGCGCTCCATCACAGGCCTTTGTAGCAGTCAGAACCCAGTTCAAATCCTGGTTCTTACACTTAATAGCTGTGGGGCTGTGGCGAGTTGCTTAACTTCTCCAAACCTCATTTCCTCATCTGTAAAATGGACATAATATTATCGATCTAGTTCATAGATTATTATGAGAATTAAATGAGATGTTGTATCTAAATGTATTTATTTAAAGTACTTAGTTCATCACTTGGCTTATGGTGGAATTATCAGTCTGTCTAACTAAAATATGTCTTGACTTTAATATAGTATATATTGATTTTATTACTAAGTGCAAGACATTCTAAGATGCCTGTGGAAATTCAGACATTATAATTCACTGCCTGTGGTGGAAGTAGATAGAAAACTTTAGTTCAGAGAAACAAATTACCAGTGATAAGGTAGATGTCAACAGGATTTTATAATTAATGACTCTGTTGATTGGTTTTCTTTGCTGTGGCTTGTTTTAACCTTTGGAATATTGTTATTAGAAAAGAAATGCTGTTTTTTTAATAATGCTAACTTCATCAAAGCTCCTTGTAATGTTATTTTGTGATTATAATAAACATTTTGTGGGCTAAAATTTGTATTTTAGTTCTTTCAGGAGAAAACGAAGAAAGAATTTTCAAGTGAGTTTCTGATTTTTGTTAGAGTCACTCAGAAGTTTAAACGTTAATTTGGGCTTGATTCCAAAGCTAAAAGAATAAAAAGTCTTTTTAAAATGTCATAATTCTGTTGTCATTATAAAAGATTACTTTAAATCTTAGCTAGAATCTATATTTTGAGGCTTTCTTTATATATTTTGGAAGCTCGTAGACACTTGCATGAATATCAAAATAGTATTCAAACACATTTTATCTTGTGCTATGTTAGGTTTATTTTTGGAATAAAAGTAGTACTCAGTTTACACTTAAGATTTTTGTTTTTATGTTTAAAATATATGCCATGTTTAGTGCTTACATCTAAGGGGATGAAAAATAGTGTGTTTCAGTTTTTTCTGGTCAGTTAATGATCTAGAGCCTTTCCAAAGAGGATTTTAGTCTTAATTTTATTTTTTATGTGGCTAGATTTTAAGCTCTCGATTAAAGTTCCTTTTAATATCTAAATTTATGTATCTGAACTTGAGTTCGCTGGTCTTAATTGTGAATCACATAATGTCCAGTTCCTCCATTTAAAAATCAATTCGTGTATAAAAAAGAATAACCAATTGTGGTGGCCGTTCTTCTGTATTCCTGTACTTCAGATTTCACATACACCGAAATGACTTAAGAAAAATAGACACTGGACTAGTTTCTAATTAATTTTTATTATTTCGAAGAAGGTTTTTTTGAGTTGTGGGAACTGTGACTGTTGTCAAGATAGATGCCCATAAACTTGTAATTATGCATTAATGTTGATTCGCTTATGTAATTTGCAAGAATACCTCTTCTTCACACTAAACAAAATGCAGAAGTAACAAAATCGGAACACGCCCTAAAGCTGACGTTCCCTCTTCCTCATACTTTGGGATGAGCCTGACTACATAGTACATATTATTTTTGTTTTACAGGGTAAGGAATTTTCCACTGAACATTTAACTTTCGAGTTTTGCTTTTTCCTTGGTCTTAGAATCAATTATCGTATTTGAAATGACCACTGTGTAATTATTTTGAGGTTTAACCAAGCTTCTTCGCGTATTAGAAAATACTTCGTAGGACCAACCCTGTCTCCCCCTTTGGTTTGTTTAGAAGACTTGCACTATCTGCCAGATGCTGCTTCCTAACCAGTGCAGCTATGCATCACACCAGAGAATCCATCAGCACAAATCTCCCTACACCTGCCCCGAGTGCGGGGCCATCTGCAGGTCGGTGCACTTCCAGACCCACGTCACCAAGAACTGTCTGCACTACACGCGGAGAGTTGGTTTTCGGTCAGTATTTCGTTCGCTTACGTGCAAGTAAAGCTCGTTCACTTAGGACTGCACAGCATTTCGAGTGGCCTGTGCGCATAGTGATCAGGGTCATACAGTGATACCTCGATTAACAGATCCTCTGGGAGCCGACCTCGTGTGTCGTTAAGAGTTCATCTGTTTGAATCCTTTAATTGGTCTTGGCCCGCTGGCCCACACAGAGCTGAGGGGAAGCGGAGCCCATCCTTCAGGCAAAAGTGTGCACATGGCAAAGTTCGGCTTTGATATGACTGTTAGAGCCTCTTCTTCCTGCACCCTTTCTAGCCTACTGTCGTTGTCATGCTCTCTGGAGCCTTTTTAACCCGTGCAAGAACACTGTGCATTTCCGTACCTCTTAATCCTTCCTCCTCTAATCAAACCAGAAGGGATGCGATGGTCCCTCACTTTTATTTTGTCACGTTGGAGGATTGGGTGTATGTTCTTTCCTAACTGTGTTCTTTGTGGGAGAGCCTTGCATGCCAGATAACCTTCCTTTATTCCTGCTTCTCCATTACCTGAGTTCACACTTCTCCCTCACGTTCACACATCTTAACTGTGACCCCTTTCACTGCCCCCTTAAGATGCTCAGATGTGTCTTTTACAGCATCTGCCAAATCTAATGTTAGTTTAGCTAATATTGAGTGATGATGTACTTGAACTTTATCCTCCACTTTGTGACCTTCTGAAATGCATTCTGCAGCCTTTTATATTTTGACCCAGTAAAGGCCCACCAAGAAAACCTGTTATTGATACACAATGTCTTTGTTAATAGAGGTATTACTGTATTGTGTGTTTATCTTAAACATGTTTGGTTGCCTGGTATCTTTAATGTTAGATTGCTAATATACAGTATTTTTTTTTTTAGTTGTAATATAGTTATACCATGTTTTACAAAAATAAGAGTCCAGTTGGTATGATTTGACAGTTTTATTTCAGTTAAGTTTAGGTTACAGCATCACCAGTTCCTAGGTGGCTCGTTCATTTTTCTTTTTTCTTTTTTTTCTATTACTGATTATTTATTATTATGTATGCCTACAGCACCTGGTCTTTCTAGGTGGTCTCCCATTCAAGTACTAACCAGGCCCGACCCTACTTAGCTTCCAAGATCAGACATCGGGCTTGTTCAGGGTGGCATGGCCATAGACCATAGACCATAGACCGTGGCTCCACTGGGGTACAAACCCAGGACCTTCTGCGTGTGAAGCAGACGTGCTAACCGCTGAACTATGGAACCACGTCCTCTGTTCATTTTTCTAACACTAATAGAGGCTTGCTTCACATTTTTTCCTCATGCCTCCAATGTTGAATGGGTTAGGAATCTACTCTAGTAGAAAACCTTTGGTTTGGAAGAAACCAGAGTCTTGGGTACCAGTTCTGCTGCTAATTGTGCAGTATTTCCTGTGTTCTCTCTGTGCCATGGTGCCCTGTCTATAAAATTGGTGTGATGCTTGCCTCTTTCTCCACTGGGATGTTAGAGAGTAAAACAGGATAATCAAGATGCATACTATGTCCTCAGGGAGAAAGTCACACATTGAAGGTGCCCTTGATTCCACAGACTCTACACACGAGGTAATTTGGTTCTCATCCCACGTTTCGAAACTGTTGTTGCTGGATTCTTTGTTTCACGATGGAAAACAGTTCTACAACATTTTCTGACTGCTGATGGATGCCAAACTTTCCTCAGACGTTTAGTTTATTTTTCTAATATAATGAAAGTAAACTTAGATTGGAATGAAGAAAGGAAATAAGACATCTGTAACTCTAGCTATTCCTGGTACCTTCCCTAAATTAAAACAGAGGCTCAGTAGGCAGGCTTATAGTAATCAGCTCACTAGGAAAAGCACATCCCTTGCATATTCTCTCTCTCTCTCTCTCTCTCTCTCTCTCTCTTTTTCTTGCCCCATTCACAGAGTTGCTTAAATTGGGGGCTTTGAATTTTTACTAAAATTTTTTGTGTTTAGTATAGTTTTTTTTTTTTCTGATATGAAGCTTATAAGCTTTAAAGGTACTCTGTTTGTATATTCTGAAGTTTAGTTCATGTTTACCTCTTCATGGAATACAAAATAATTTGACCTTGGTTTTTTCCTTGGCTGTTTCAAATAATGGTCCAGTGTAATATTGACTGGGGTTTAGCAGCCCTTGGCCTTGTATGTTTTTCCCTCCTTTTTGGCTCTCTAGTTTTTCAATCTTTTTTTTTTTTTTTTTTTTTTTAAGGCAGAGGCATCTCTCTAACACGATTCTCACGCCTTACTTTGTCTCTTCTTGATTCACTATGTTTTGTTTTCTCTCTCTCCTTGACCGTAGTGCATCTCCCACACACTGAGGGACTTATTTCTAGTTTCTGATTGATTTAGTAATAGTCAAGTATTTATCTGAATTTTCCTGCTTCTCAGTCCATTGGATCTGCATCTTGAAAGTGGAATTATCGAATTATATAGTGTAAACATTTTTTTAAATTAAAAAATAAAGAGAAACTTGATTGGGTACCCAGAATACAACAGACTTCTGGTATATTAAATATTTATTAATAGACTGATTTTTTAGTAGCATTAGGATACTCTGTGACCCTTTCAAATTCTGCCTTCTGTTTGTCTTATTTATATTCCCTACTGGCCTCTTGTTGTCCTTGAACCTTTTTTCCCACTCATGGCAACTCTCTCTTTCTTTCCTTACATTGGGAGGGTTTTCCCTTGGCTTCCATTGACTCTTTGGACCAAGCTGTAGCCACCTCCTTCATCAACGGTAGATCCTTTAACTTGCTGTTTATTTTCTTTGGGTTAACTCTTCCTCTCACACAGGACGACTTCAGAGAATGAAATCTTTGTTCCTTTTTTGCCTTTCCTTGGTCTTTTGCCCTTTGAAATCACTTTTCTACCCTTGATGGGAAAATCTTTTGTTCATGAGTCATGGTGTCGAAGATCCTTCTGTTTCCTTAGTAACCCATCTTTTATTGTGTTATGTAATCTTTCTCTTTCACAGGAATCATAGACGTTTAGGGTTGGGGAGGACTAAAAAATGATCTTCTCATTTTACAAATGAGAAACTGGCCTAGAGAGGATCAATAATAACCTGTTTAAGACAACACAAGTTCAAGTTAACCCAAAATAATTTCCATATGCTTGGGTGGCTTTATTACCTAGCATAATAGTTTAAGTAGATGGGCTAAAGGAATTTTCCTTAATTATTCTCCTTTTGTTATTTAGTGTTTTTATGTATATGCTGCTGAACATTTTGCCTCAAGTCGTTTAAAATGCTTATGCATTAATAATGATTTTTTTAAAAGTGCTTACAAAGCTTGACACGGCACGCTTTATAGAACACATGTAATTCAGAGCATGCCACTCCTATGTGACTTTGGAAGCAGCTCTGTGAATTCAGAAGTGAGGTTCAAAGACTAGAAATATCTTAGATTAATGCAGAAGTCGCTGAGCTCGGTCTCCTGGAAGGCTGGCCCTGTCCACAGTCTTCCTCTCTAGGTCCCATTCATATCCAGGAACATGTCTGCCAGGGATATTATATCCATGTAGACCCTCTAGAGTCCATAGAGACCACTCCGTCGGGTGTGAACAAAGGACGGACGAGGTTGTCACATGGGTGTGCTGTCGTCAGTGTTGCTGAGGGTCCTTGAGTGAGAAGGATGTGGTCGGGGAGAAGCGCATCGAAGTTTTAAAGTTTGTTTCTGTAGGGCCAGATGTGAACAAGGAATGAGCGAATCAAATTATTAGAAAGTCAGGAAGAGGTTAGCTAGAGAGGCAGTTATATTTAGAGATGTCGATTGTTCAGAAGTTTACAATTTGTGTCATTTCTTAAACAAATATAACTGTACTTAAATTTATTTTCCAGGAGACACACAGTCTAGGTGGGTGACCTTCTCTACCTGATGGGCCCCCAAACCTCCAGCTATATTAACCACATCAGTGTATACCAGGAAACAGTGGCCACGGCTTGGGAGCCCACGCTTACTCATTCCTCTGTGCGCCTCTCTTGATGGCATGTAGGGTTAGACAGTGCAGATCTTCCACTGGAGATGACACTGGGTAGAGGGGACGGCTAGGAACCACAGGGCCCTGATGTCAGGATTCAGCGGATGGGAGTCTTCTGCAAAGCCAGGAGTCACAGGGTCTTGCTGTGTTCCAGGCCTCGATATGGTCCCTATGCTCCTTTGTTCTCACCCCAGTCTGGGCATCCATTCCGAGAATCTTTAAGATGCTCAAAGTCTAGACCATTTCAATTTTCTTTTTCTTCTTCTTCATGGTCTTCCTTCTTACATATAAAAATGGGAAAAAAATGAAGCGCACTTCCAAAAAGCTATTAGAAACCTCAAAAGGCCGTTACAATGCGTTCATTTTACACAGTTAAGTTACACGTGCGTAATGGTCTCGTTCTAACGACTGCGTATTTATTTTTCTAACAGATGTGTACATTGCAATGTTGTGTACTCTGATGTGGCCGCACTGAAGTCTCACATTCAAGGTTCTCACTGTGAAGTCTTCTACAAGTGTCCTATTTGTCCAATGGCGTTTAAGTCTGCCCCAAGCACACATTCCCACGCCTACACACAGCATCCCGGCATCAAGATAGGAGAACCAAAGTAAGTCATGCTCCGTTTGACTTCTACTCCGCTGCTTTATTCCTAATTTCAAGGAGGTATTAGTTCTGTGGATTTTCTGTGGAAAATCGAAGATGGGAAAAGTGGTGCCCCCGTGTAGATTCTGACGCTCCTGCAGTACAGCCCACACCTCGGAGCTCAGAGCTCCCTGAACCTTTAGGTTCTTTCCGGGGGAAGTCTTTGTCCCCAAGCGTCACTTATTATTATTGCTCTTGTCATCAGTTTTTAGTAAACAAGTGAATATTTATAAATTTTGTTCTTTTTCTTATGATGATTTTAACAAGTTCTCGGAAAACTCTAAACAGCGGTCATCTTTCCATTTTTCCGTAGTTTCTTTCTTGTAGGATCCATTTTTCACAGTAACATAAGATGAAGTCAATTTCAGAATGGTTACTGGTTACTGAATTAACTTTATAGCCAGTATTAATAAAGGTGTATTTCACTTTTGCCTTAATCTCGCTCTTAACATTGTCAATTTTTGCTTTTTTTGTGCCTTTAATAATGAAGCGGTGCTTCAGCAGACAATTAGGGGGCTGCTTGTCCACAATAGGGGGAGCTTAGTGAAGGGGAGTAAGTGTGAGCACGGAGTCAGAATCCTACGCCCACCCACCGGCTGTGCGAACTTGGATTGTCACTCACTCTGTCTCAGAATTCGTCTTCTCCCCTGTAAAGCGAGGGTAATGCTTATGTCCCTGGGTTTGTGTGAGGATGAAACGAGATATGTTTCAAATGCCTAGCACACAGGCCCCACATCTGGAGCGTGGAGGGGCTCTGTGCCATTAGTTTCTTCCCATGTCCTCCCCACCCCCTCTGATTTTGTGCACATAACAGCACTGGATTAAATACTAATGGTCATGTTCACTTTTTCCCCTGTATTATTTATGGCACTGTAGGATTTGATAATTATGATAAGATTTGCAGCCTCAAATCTAGTGGAGTGTTTTTGCCCATCACTCCATAATCAAGGAAGTATTAGGGAGAAGATATGCAGATATGCCATGTTACATTGTCTGGCTTTTGTTGTAACATTTAGTTTTGGGGAAATGTTATTGACTAAACACTACAGAAGTGACTGTTTACTAAAAGACTGTGATAAAATGAAGTTTTATTCTAGTAAGACCTTCACTCTGATCTTTGTAGATCCTCAAAATGAGACAGATTACACATTAAAGGATCAATACACAGCTTGGTGTGTCGATTCCAACGAATGACATTGAACAGTCTTTGGCATTTGTGGCAGTCAGGCTCCTGGACACCAGCGTTATCTTCCCCGCCAGTGAACATAGTTTTGATGGATTCCTTTATTCAAATAAAAAAACTTTATTCACTGAAATATGCTTGAAACCTGGAACATTAGTTGTTACCTGGAAATACAGGGCAGCAAATGATTAAAATAAGCTAAAACAATATTCCTCAAATTTGAATAACGTGTAAGAAAACATTATTCCAATATTTTCTTAACATGTTTTTTTACGACAATGATTCTTTAATGAGTGCCAAACCTAAAGATGGGCATCGATTACTGCATTTTAAACTATAAAACAAATTTACAAATACACTGCAACGAAACTCCCAAATCAGTGAGCTTTAAGTTAACAATATTGATTCGGGGTGATGACCGGTGCTGGGCTAAACCGAGGCCTGGCTGGAGCACCGGGTGCTGCTCCTCGGGCTCTGTGGTTTGTCACACGCTGAGCTGCAGTGTGCCTTGAGATTACTCTTTCCTGCCCCTTCCCTGATCTACCTCCTATAAACCCTTCCTGCACCACGCCGGAAGGCTGTTTGGCCTGCATTTGACCCAAAAGCTTCCTTTTGACATTAAATCCATCTCTGTTCTGTTTGTATGAGCCTGAAATAAATCAGTAGTCCCCACTGTAGTGGAATCTCAGGCACTGAAATCTCCTAGCAGTGGTTTTATGTAAATGAGTAAAAGTTATGCAAATGATTTATATTAATTTTTAAAGATTAACATAAAAATCCCCCCATCTTCTTTAGGGAATATATAGAAGTCTGAAAATATACCCATAAAACCCTGCAGTCCCCCTCCTCAATTTGAAAAGCACGGCACAGATTTTTTTTTAATGAAGGTTTATGTAGTGTCGCTAGGTACTCGGCCTGTTCTAGTGCTTTGTTCCTTGTTTTCCAGTGTCTGGTCAGGCATGTCTCCCTGCCGTGTAAAAGGAAGCTTTGAACACCCTTTAGTCTTTTTTGGGTCATTTGAGATCATTTTCAATGTCCATGACTGGATTTTATGATGATACAGTCTTGTGTCTATTTCTGTATTTTCCTTGACATCTGGTAAATAGCAGTTTCTTTTGATGCTTTGTGCCTTTCATTTGCCACTTCTAAACGTATATAAGTGGATACATGAGGACTCCAAAGTTAAGAATTGTATCAGAGACAGATTTTGAACAAGTGCCTAAGAACTAAAATACGCGTGGAATTACAGTCGCAGCACAGTGGAGGACTTTGGAGTTGGACGAAACTGAATTTGAACCATGGCCCCGGGATTGACACACGTGAAGCAGATTCTCCCATCCGAGTCTCAGGGTCCCCTCTGTGAACTGGCTGGTAGGGTGAATTCACCTAACGCAGGTGCGGGGATGGTACGATGCTCGGGATGGTGCATTGCACCTGGTTAGGTTCGGCCAGTGGCGATGGAGGAGGTTTGTGATGTCAGAGCTCAGAACCCTTTTATTCATTCGTTTTTACATCCATTTCAGGGTTAGCCCTTGGTCCTGGAGGGTTTTGGTTGCTGTAAGTGGCACTCTTGGCCAGAATCTTCTCATCACGTCACGTTGGGGACACGTAATGCTTACCTGTCCTTGTAGGAGTGATGTGACTAACCTCCACCATCTAGTCCAGTTGGTGTCCCCCCATTCCCTGTAAAAGTCACCGTTCCCCCTTTATAGTTGTTAGTTCATGGGGCAGAATTCTGATATTATACTAACAACCCGTTCCTCAGAAAAATGCCTAAGTAAGTAGATTCTCTGTGCTTTCTTTGCTATTTAAGTAGAAGGCAGCAACTCAAAACAAACAAAACCCTACTCCAAAGCTATGTAGCATGAATAAAATGAGCCATGCCATTTTTCATGAAATAGTTATTTCTGAAAATGTAAGAACAGAATCCTGAGAAAATTTTTAGCCCAGCTAGTAAATCTTAGTTCTTTTCTAGAAGCTGTTCTTTTTGTCTTAGTATTGTGTGCTAATTACAGAAAAATCAGGAAATATAGACGAGCAAAACAATGAAGGGAATACACATATGATCATTCAGCAGAGATAACGAGTTAAAAGTCGTTTATTTTGTTCCCCACTCCCTTTAAAAAATGTAATTGCATCATGCATACTGTCTTATTTCCTGTGGTTTTAATTTCCATGAAAATCTTTTCATGTCATTGGTATATGTCTGCAACATCTTAAAATTTTTTTTACAGAGCTGCTCTTATTTAATTACTTATATCGAGAGACTATTTACAAATCTAAGCTATTTAAAACAGTGAGGAAATGAATATCTTTGCCACACCTGGTAAAGTTAACGATGACACACCATTATTGTCCACCTTTTAGCTGTCTGGTGAAGTCCAGAAAACCTTTGTCTGACCTTAAAGAATACTCCCGCCCCAATCCATAGTGCTTGTGCTGTGTGCCTAAGTAACATGTCAAGACCTTGTAAAAACATGTGTCGCTCACTCCAATTAAATTTATAAATCTGATGTGGGGAAAAAAAATTAAATACGTAATTTTTCGACAGTGAAATGCAGTGAGGTTTGAAGATGCACGAGAAGTGTTCTCTTACAACCCCAGGAGGAAAGATAAGTGGGTTCAAGAGGCTTTCCTTTTCTTTAGCTTTGCCACGGAAACATCAAATGAAACCTCAGTGTTGCCTTTTTTTCCATTTCTGACTTTCATCTTCAGTTAGTGTTTCTCTGCGATTTTCCTAAGCTGCTTCCTAGGATTCTTTGTGCCTATTCTCATCATTCTTCAAAGGACACTCAGGTCTGTAGGGCCTCCCGTAAGGACCAGGACAACCTGGCATAGTTACCGAAGAAAGGGTGCCCTACTGTGGGCAGATATGCTCACCGTGGCCTGTCACATTCCCTGGGGGCGAAGGTCGTAGCGGGGAGTTGAGGAACTTCGCTTCTCCACACTCTCCAGCCTTAGTGGAAGGTGTCGATGGATCCAAGGAATTGTCTTCCGAAGGTTCAAATTTGTGAAATTAATTTAAGGAGGCTGCTTGGTAGTATGAGGTCCCAAAATGGTTTGCAGTGGACCGTATTTTAAACCATTTAAAGCACAGTGGACATTCGGGTGTTGAAGTGTGGATTTGCTTCTCTGTGGGACTTTCTGTGTTAAGAATAGAATGACGTTCAAGTGTAAAATTGCTACTAAGTCTAAAAGATAACTGGGAACAAGTAACAGTTTGTGCAGTTATGGGAGTTGAGCTGGCTTACTTAGTTCATTAATCAAAATCTTTTTCAAGTTAGGGTACCACCATTGAGCTGTGTTCCTTGTCTGATCTTAAAAAAAAGAACCCTCGAAAACAAAGAAAAAAATCAAGGGTGCTTTTGCTAGTGTTAAAGTAACTAATGAGTGAAAACCTTATAAAAAACATGTGTCAGTTGTAAATCTGTAAGTCATAAAATAGTCATTAATTTAGACTTCGAAGCAAATTTGGTTGAATGTATCTTTACCCAAAATGTTAAGACCAACCTACACTTGAGTGATACCAGTTGCCTTCAAAAGTTTGTTTCTTTTAATTGTGTTTATGTGTTCTCACTGCTTCTGCCTCCTGAGTTCTTGAGCGATGAGAAGTTAGTAGCAGTTTCTTTGGCTTGAGAGATGAGGGCTGACTGACATTTCCATGTACTCCTCTGTTTTAGAATAATATATAAGTGTTCCATGTGCGACACTGTATTTACCCTGCAAACTCTGCTGTATCGCCACTTTGACCAACACATCGAAAACCAGAAGGTGTCTGTTTTCAAGTGTCCAGACTGTTCTCTTTTATATGCACAGAAGCAACTCATGATGGACCATATCAAGGTGTGTGCGCGTCTCTCCTGTCCTTTACGTGAATTGCAGATCTGTTCATTGGTGCCGAATCAAGGCTGAGCTGCAGATTACGATAAAGCATGTGCACTGTCGAGGGAAGGGATCGATGCAAATGGTGGGCGAAGAGCAGTTCACAACATGCTGACATCATATGTTCACTCGACCAAGGGATGCTTTTTATTCCCGCGTCCTCATCTGCATACCATGGAAGATGAATGCAAAGTAACAAGTGCATGCACTGATATTAGAAGAATAATAAAGCGTTCTTTTTTTCTCCCTGGGAAAAGAATGACTTTGAAGTTAACATTTTTGAGAACTTGCTGTTGTATAGGATTTAGACATAGACAGGAACTCTGAAAAATTGTGTAATTTGTATAAATGTTGGTATATTTAGAAAAATGAAGGTTTTCCCTTAAAATTACTTAAGCAGTTAAGTTTGCATTCTAATGGATGCCCCTGGATATTTTGGTCTTTTTTTTTTTTTCCTTCTATCAAGACTGCATGTAAATTGACTATGAGATGACCAGATACAGCACAATGTCTGGTGGGTGGGTATTCAATTAATGACATGAGTAAATGTCCAGTTTGGATCATGCATTTTCCAGCCCTAAAGGGGGCACTTAAATCTCTCTCCAGCCTTTTAAGCTCACTAAGGGCAGCTTAGTCTGGCCCCTTACCTGTCCACTGTGATAGGTGAAACAGTTTTATTCCTGTGCGATTAGGAGATAATATCCATCAGCTCTCAGAGATTAAAGTGATTTAACTTTTTTAGAAAGAGAAACAACAGACCCAATATTATCATGAAGTCAGTCTCTTTCTCTTAGTTTTTCTTTCTTTCTTTCTTTTTTTTTTTTAATATATTACACAAAAAAGGTCAGTTTAAAGAGCAAATCAGGTCTCGTGTCCTCTTAGGTGAATGGACTGTGAATCCTTGGAATTTCCTGTCGCGTGGATGTGAGCCCATGTGGCATGACCTCCTGTCTCAGAGGCCTTCCCATCCCTGGGAGTCTTCACGTTGGAGGCCAGGTGGAGGTAGTGGCTGTGTGGCATTATTAGGATCAGTCAGATGCATGGGAGGTCGGCTTCATCGTTCTCACTTTAAATACAATAAAATCCTCTTAAAGTATTGCAAAGATTTTTTTTTTTCTAAAATTACAAAATTATCTTCACAGTAAATATTTAATGAACGAAATAGGAAAAACTAAAAAGCGCTTCTAAAAATGTAGGGACATTTAGGGACTTAGACCCAAATATTTTAACATACTGTATATAGCGGGGAGTGGGGTGAAAGAAAAGTTGCTTCTTTAAGAGGCTTTTAAGGATTTTGCTTTCTGGGGCTCATCTTGACATCTGGAAATGGGGTCGTGGAGTTTGAGGTTGGGGGTCTTCCTTGCATTAATAGTGAATTTGGAGGAACACAAGGACCCAAGAAACAGACTGAGAGGAACAGTAAAATCCTGGGGCCCCGGGGAGGAAAGAATTGTTTTTCTTCACCTGAACCTTTACAACACAACACGATAACGAAGTGCTTCCTCACGGTGTAGGCCCCCGGGCTCCACGCTGGCAGGTACATTTACAGTAAACTTTCAGGTTCCAGTCATTCAACAATAAGTCATCCTTTATTGTTACCGGAGCTACGGGAAAATCAATTCTAAAATAATTAAATGATATTTCTTTTACTAAACATTTGTTTCTAATAAACAGTCTTACTTTTACTTACAGTGCGAAAGTAAAATAAATTAGAGATTCTCACGTCGGCACTCACCGTGTTGCTCCCCTGTCACAGCAGAATCGCTTGCTGCTGCTCCATAATTTCTCTAGAGCAGGATGACATTCTCTTATAAAAAGGATGCTTTACTACTTTACCTTCAACTTTTCAGTTAGTAAGAACGTGTTTGCCTAGAAACTTAAGAAAAGCTTATTAGAAGGTTTTGGTTTTTGGTTTTGGGGAGATTTAAATGGTTAAAAATGTAAAAACATGGATTTTGTTTTTAAAAAAAGGCCATTTAAACACAGAAGCCCCTGCCCTGCGTGGCAGACAAGCCAAAGCACACATTGTGGCTGTGATGACATCACGTCTCGCCCCAGATTTTCTTTTTACAAAGGGACATTGGACATGCAGCTGAGGCCTTTTTAAAAGGGTGGACCTCTAACTTCTGCTCACAAGAAAATTATAGAGCCCTCCTTTTTCCCTTTTGGCATAAGACAGTATTGAAGAAGGTTGGCCACTTCTTGGTGCTGTTTCAAAAAGACTTTGACCTTTAGAAAGTATGATGGAAAGTACGCCGAAGGAACAGCTTCTTCCTCGAACACTCAGGAAGGAGGGTGGAGCTGGGAATCTGTGACGGAGGAGACCTAGACGTGCTAATGCACCTTAGGAGCCGTGTGTCACAGTGTGTCCTTCTGTTTGTTGGCTCACGAACTCAGGCTGGTACCAGCCTGAATACCGATTGAAGACCCTATTCAAAGATGAATTGTACATCGAGGCACAGACTGTTTTGCTTCCTTGCTTTTTGGTTTTGTTTTGTGTTTGTTTTGGACTCCATGCTTCTAGAACACAAACCAGAAACCAACGTGAGCCTGTCTTTAGAATCAAAGTGCCCCAAAAGAATATGAAATCCTGAGAGTTTTAAGTTGAAGATAGCTGTTGAGGCTAATGAGAATAAATAGCCACGCAGTTGCAGAAGGCTTTTTGAGTATCCACTGTGTATAGTTCACAAGTCTGGGTGTTGTCAGTGAGAAGAGATGGATTGGGATAGCCTGTAGGGAGATTACAGTTACCTCCTAAAACCTCAGCAAAAACCCAAACTGTTACAGGTATTCCAAGAATGCAAAAGGCATGAAGGAGAGGGAGAAAGGTTTGCCATTCATGTATTGGTCTTAGGTTTGTTGCAGTTAGTTAGCTGACAGTCTTAAAACACCCACCAACACGTTAGCCTGTTGAAACGTTTCTGGGTCGATGTGAAACCAGAAACGGTCTGTCATACGGCGGATTCACTGTGGAACAGTGGGAAGGATAGAGTGCCAGGAATAATGCGGATTTAGTGCAGAAATCTTTCTTTAAAGAATTTTAAAATGGCATAAGCAAATAAGTTTTTAAAAATGATTTGGACCTAGAAATGCATATCTTAATAGCAGTCATCAAAGTTAATACTTCTTTAACTCTTTAAATTTATGTTTTGATTATATTTGACCTCCAGATAATACTTTCTTCTCTCTTTTTTAAGCATACATTTTGCTTAGATTTTCTTCATGTATCATAAACATTTCTGAATGAATATAAAGTCACATAAAAATGTTATGTATTAAGATAGTCCACACGTGCTTTCCCTCAGTGGTGTGTTTTGTGATAGAATTTCTTTTCTTTTCATCACGTAGTCTATGCATGGAACATTGAAAAGTATTGAAGGGCCGCCAAACTTGGGCATAAACCTGCCTTTGAGCATTAAGCCTACAACTCAAAACTCAGCAAATCAGAACAAAGAGGACACCAGATCTATGAACGGAAAAGAGAAACTGGAAAAGAAATCTCCATCTCCTGTGAAGAAATCAGTGGAACCCAAGAAAGTGGCCAGTCCTGGGTGGACGTGCTGGGAGTGTGACCGCCTGTTCACCCAGAGGGACGTTTACATTTCCCACGTGAGGAAGGAGCACGGGAAGGTAAGAACGGAGGCCGCGTTAGCGTGAGGGAGAGCCCTGGACTGACGGACCTCCGGCCCCTGGGTTTTGGGTGCGGCTCTGTCGGGAATTGTTAGTGGGGTGACCTCAAACATCGCTCAGTGTCCCTGCGCCTCAGTTTGTTTACCTGTGAAGTGGACGTTTCCCCGTCCTCCTCCGTTCCGCGGCTTTGCTCATAATCGCCTTCACTTGCACTCGCTCCCCTGAAGGCGAACACGGAGTCATCTCCCACGTTCCCGAGGAAACCGAGAACAACGGTGAACCAGAGCTCACAGTGTTCGAATTTACCTCTTACCCCAGTGACAAGTAAGGAAGAAAGCAGGAAGGGAAGAAAGTAGATTTTTGAAAACTGCTGGTAGCGTTTATATGACTTATGTGATTATTTCCTGAATTTGGTAGTGGGAAGAGGGACCTCATCCTTAAATATCTAGAAGTTCTGTAACAAAATCACTGAAATTTCTGAGTGGCAATATGTATATTCTTTCTCTTTTTAAAACGATAAGCACACATATCCAACTAATACGGAATTTTAAAAAATGACCATTATTAGACTTAATATAACTAGCAAGATTATTTTTTAATATTATTACGATTATCTCAAAATTGGTGTGTCATGGTCAGAATCCAGAGAAAGTCCGTATTACCTTTGGTTCTTATATAACTTAAATCTCTCTTAAAATATAGCAGTTTTCTTTTTTAATGTGCTGTTGGAAAAATTAGGGTATATGTCCTATAGATTGTCCCCCAAATTTCTGGATTTGGGTAACGGCTTCCTTTTGACATTGTTTGACTTACTTCTCTTTATCCCATACTTCTTAGAAATTTGGTTAGATTCAGGTTGATTTTTTTTTTTTTTTTAGATAAGTATACATCATAGATGCTGTATTCTTTTTGTATCACATCCCGAGGCACATAATACCGGTTTGTCCTACGTTTGGTGATACTAAGATTGATTAGTGGCTTCAGAGACACTGCGCTTTTAAAGAAACCATTTTATTGCCTTAACTTACGCTAGTAAAACCAGAT